ATATGTCTATCACTAATAATTTTGTTTATCTGATAACATAAGGTATCAGAATTGCAAGCTAACCAGAATGGTTTTCATTAAGCAATCTCATAGAAGGTAATGTTAAGAACAACACATATCACTATGTACATAGGAAATATGTTGTAACAACCATCATAATCAAACCTTATACTTGGATTTTAATGTACTTGTGACATCAGACCCAAAGTAATCTGCTTCCATAAATATTATATTCTTGGAAACACTATGGAGCAGTTCTACTTTGCCTATATAGTTGTTATGAGTTGGAATTGATTCAAAGATGGAGGAGTATGGTTGTAACATTAGACCCAAGGTATCTGTATTCAGGGGAACAATGACAGGAGTAGCCTTTCTAGTAATCATCTGTAAACGTCTTGTTCTTCTTTAAAAAAAAAAAAAAAGAAAGTACAAATCTGTATGGCTGTTTTTGTTAAGTCCTATCTAATGGGTTCCAACTCATAATGACCTGAATAGGGTTTCCAAAGAGTGGTTGCTGGGTTTCAACCACCATCCTTGTGGTTAGCAGTCCAGTACTTAACCTGCAGTGCCATGCCAGAACTCCCTAAATATGTACATGTGGTTTAAATTGATGTGGATCAGGTATGAACAGAACTCTGTGGGATATTGAAATTATTGCATATTTTTGCTGAGACAGATTTTTCTTTTTACTTTAAACCTGACTAAAAATTAGTTGATGTGGTTCAGTAGGTTAATCACTGGACTGCTAAAAGCAAGGTTGACAGTTTAAAATGACCAGCCACTCCTTAGAAACCCTGAACAGGGTTTCTATGGGTTGGATTGGACTCTGGAACACCTAACAACAGCAACAGTCTTCTTCTTAGAGCTTTATAACTCTAGAAACAAACAAGTTGAACAATAAGAGTTCATTCAGTTTCTCTGACTATAAACTAAATAATGCATCTGTCTTCTGAACAATTCTTTTGAGCACTTACTTAGGAGTCCTGCTGGAGCTAAAGGGATAAACATTGAGTAAACCTACAGTGGTTCAACCCAATAACTGCTCTGTGGGAGAAAGATGATACATTCTGATCTGATAAAGATTTACAGCCTCAGAAACCACTATGAATCAGAATCCACTGGATATCGGTGTTTTGTTTTTGTGATTTTTTTTTTTTTCCCTCAAGGAGACCTATAAGCCCTGGTAACATAATAGGTTACCATTAGACTACTAAGTGCAATGTTAGCAGATTCAATTCATCAAGAAATCCATGGGAGAAAGAGGAGGCTTTCTGTTCCCATAAAGATTTATGTCTCAGAAACCTTACAGGACCACTATGAGTCATGCTAATACAAACTAGGATGAAGAAGAGATAACTACTTCTGAATGTTTAGCCACTGAAAATCTTATGAATAGCAATGAAGCACTGTCAGCTAGCACCATAATATTGAATACTGAAGCATTATAAAAAGCAGCAGAATATTGTCTGATAGAGTGTCAAATGATGAGCCCCTCAGGTTGGAAGACACTCAAAATACAACTGGGAAAGAACTGCTTCCCCAAAGTAGAGTAGACTGTTATGACACAAATAATGTATAAATCTAGAAAAATTGAAAGTTGTTGAAAATGAAATGGAAGGCACAGAGATCTATACCCTAGACATCATTGAGCTGAAATGGACTGGTATTGGCCATTCTGAATCTGACAATCATATGTTTTACTATGTTAGGATGACAAATAAGAGAGGAATAATGTCACATTTACCATCAAAAAGAACATTTCAAGATTTATGTTGATGTATAATGCTGTCTATGATAGGCTAATATCCATATACCTATAAGGGAAACCAGTTAATGCCACCAACACTCAAATTACATACCAAACACTAAAGTCAGTGATTATGAAATTGAAGAATTCCACCAACTTCTTTAGTATGAAATTTATCAAGCACACAATCAAGATATGTTAATAATTATTGGTGATTGGAATGCAAAGGTTGGAAACCAAGAGGAAAGATCAGTAGTTGGACAATATGACCTCGGTGACAGAAATGATGCTGGAGATCGCTTGACAGAATTTTGCAAGACCAGTGACTTTTTCATTGTAAATACCTGGTTTAATCCACCTAAATGATGACAGTACACATGGACCTCACCAAATGGAAAACACAAAATTCAAATTGATTGCATCTGTGGAAAAAGATAGTGAAAAAGCTCCATCATCTCAAGAACCGTTTTAATGTATTAGATAAGAATTACCTGAAGACATGTGGGAAAATATCAAAAGCATCATAGAGGAAGAAAGAAAAGATATTAAGAATATAAGAAAGAAGGAAAATACCAAGATACTCTGAAACTTACACTCCAGTGTAGAGATGCTAAAACAAATGGAAGAAATAATTAGGTAAAAGAGCTAAAAAGAAAATTTCAAGGGTCAACTAAAAGATCTGGAGTTAGAATCCAAAGGGAAGAATATGGTTAGAGTTTTTCAAGTGGAAAGAACTAAAGAAAAAATTCAAGTCTTGACTTGTAATACTGAAGAATTCTATAGGCAGAATATTGACTGATGCAGAAAGCATCAAAAGGGGATGGAAGAAATATACACAGTAACTGTACCACAGAGAAATGGTCGATGTTCAACCACTTCAAGAGGTAGCATGTGATAGAGTCAACGGTACTAAAGGAAGAAGGGCAAGGTGCACTGAATACAATGGCAAAGAACAAGTCTACCAGAATTGAAATCTTTCAACACACTGATGCAGCCCTAAAGGCACTCACTCATCTATGCCAAGAAAATTGGACGAAAGCTACCTGGTCAAATGATTGGAAGAAATCCAGATTTATGCCCACTCTAAAGAGAGATGACCCAGTAGAATACGGAAATCATTGGACAATATTAATGTTACATGCAAGTAGATTTTATCTAAAGATAATTCGAAAACAATTGCAACAGTACATTGACAGGGAACTGCTAGAGGTACAAGCCAATTTCAGATGAGTGCATGGAAAGGGTGATATCATTGCTGAGAGCAGTGGATGTTGGCTAAAAGCAGAGAATACCAGAAAGATTTTTACCTGTGCTTTATTGATAGGCATGGATGATAATAAATTGTCAACAACATTGACCAGAATAGGTGTCCCAGAATACTTAGTTGTGCTCATAAGGAATCTGTACATAGAACAAGAGGCAGAAATTGGACCAGAACAAGGAGACAATGAGTGATTTTAAGTCAGGAAAGGTGTTGGCCAGGATTGCATTCTTTCACCATACATATTCAATCTGTATCCTGAAAAAATAATCCTAGAAGCTGGATTATATAATGAAGAACATGGTATCAGGATTGGAGGAAGACTGATTAACAGCCTGCTATATGCAGATGATAAAATCGTGCTTGCTGAAAGTGAAGAAGACTTAAAATACTTATTGATGAAGATCAAAGACCACAGCTTTCAGTATGGGTTGCTCCTTAATGTAAAGAAAACAAAAATCCTCACCCCTGGACCAATAAATAACATCATGATAAATGGAGAAAAAATAAAGTTGTGAAAGACTTCATTTTGCTTTTCTTGATTTTGTTCTGTCTACAGAATTTAAGGAACTCTGGTAGCGTAGTGGTTACAAATCAGGCTGCAAACCTTAAGGTCAGAGGTTCGAAACTACCAGCCGCTCCACGGGAGAAAGATGAGGCTTTCTACTCCTGTAAAGATTTACACCCTAGAAAACCCTGTACAGAGTCGCTATGGGTCAGAACCGACTCGATGGTACTTAACAACAACAACAACAGAATTTAATAGAAGCCACAGTAAAGACATCAAATGATATATTGCATTAGGCAAATCTGCTGCACAAGACTTCTTCACAGTTTTCAAGAACAAAGAAAGTGTGCCTCAGCTAAGCCACAGTATTTTCAATAGCTTCCTAGTGTAGCATTGTAGGAGAAGCACAGGGCTCTAACCACAAGGTCACCAGTTCAATCACATCAGCAGCTTCCTAGAACCCTTTATGTAGTTGTTTTTATTTGGAACTGACTGGATGGCAATTAATAACAACAGCAACATATTCATGTGAAAGTTGGACAATACATACAGAAGACGTTGGAAGAACTGATGCATTTGAGTTATGATGTTGGAGAAAAAGATTAAAAGTAGCATTGGCTGCTAGAAGAGCAAATAAACCTGTATTGGAAGAATCACAGCCAGAATGCTACTTAGAAGCCAGAAGAGTGAGATTTTGTCTTGCATACTTTGGACACATCAGAAGGGGCCAGTCGTTGGAAAGGAACATATGTTTGATAAAGTGGAGGGTCAGCGAAAAAGAGGAAGACTCCCAGTGAGGTGGATTGGCACAGTGATAGCAGCAATGAGCTCAAGTGCAACAATGATTGTAATTATGATGGAGGGCTGGGAAGTATTGTGTTCTATTGTGCACCAGGTCACTATGAGTTGGAACTCACCCAAAGGTACCCAACAACAACAATGGAACCAACTCGATGGCATGAACCAGCAGCAGGGGTGTAGTGGTTAAAGCATTCTGTAGCCAATGAAATGGTTTTTGGGCACCAACCCACTACTGGTTCTGTGGGAAAAAGACACAACAGTCTGTTTCTGTAAATATTTACATATTCGGACACACTAAGAGACAGTTCCACTCTGTCCTATTTACTGATTTGTATTTGTGAAAATAAACCTAGTGGAAGTGGATTTATTCATTTATTTATTTGGTTTTAGTGATTACATAGAGTTAAGCATGACTGTTTTTCACCTATTAACTCATTTATTTCTCCAGATATCCTATATTGCATCTATATCCTTTTTAAACCCATTTTATAGAAGTGGAAAGTGAGGTAAACAAGTATTTATTATTATATGTTGCAAAGTTACCTAATTTAAGAAATAGATGAATCACATACAAATTACACTTAATCAGAAAATTTTACCGTGGCTTGAAATATATGCATATATAATATAATGCCTTTTTCTAATACTTCATGATATTTTCAGAACATTCATTTTGACTTCACCTTTAATCTCTTTGTCATTTTTAAACCATTTTATGTCAGCTGCAGGTTTACTTCCAGATGTTTTACAAGTCAGTTGCATCAAATCTCCTTCCATAACTGGTGATGAAAATCCACTAATTTGAGGTTTCTCAGGAACCCCTGAAAATTAAACAAAGGAATAAAATTAACAACAGTCTTTAGGATGGATTTCATCCTGTGATTATTGCCTTCATAAACTAATGTGCCCACCACTCATCTGTCAGTTTCTTGGACTTTTCTGGCTTGTGAGTTGCTATGATTCTGGAAGCTATACCACCAGTATTTTAAATACCAGCAGGGTCACTCATGGTGGACAGGTTTCAGACAAGTTTCTAGATGAAGACAGACCAGGAAGAAGGAGTGATGAACTAGTTCTGAATATTTAGTCACTGAAAACCTTATGAATAGCAGAGAAACACTGTCAGATATAGT